AGGAGTGCAAGTGAATTTATGATATTGATAGAGGTACATTGTATTGGTATTAATATAATAATGATATTGGGGACCATAAACCACTTTGTTTCGCAAGTAGCTTTAGGATCGCGGTTTTATCTTCACATGTTGCCCTTTGTGCAATTCGAAAATGAAATATTTTAATCTATAATTTATATACCATTTGCAAAATAAATGTAATTAAGAGACATGGGGGAGGGGGGGGGGTTAACGGCCAGAATTTGGAATGTCCCGAGTCTGCATCTGTTTTTCATGCTTCCGATCCACCTTTGGGATAGAGAGAATAGATGTAGATTTGTAATTTGGGGGGGGGGTGGCATTAAATGTGTTCTCATACAAACTAAAATAAACCCCAAAAAGCCATATCAAATGTCCAAACACAAGACCAATGCCATGTCAAACATCCAAATATAGAACCAATGCCATACCCCCGGGTACCAAATATCCAGAATATAAGACCAAGGCCATTCGAAATATCGAATGCCCCGAGAAGAAGGCAGATCTTTGAGTAAAATGACCATAAAACAACCTCAAATGAAGGATATGTGTAACAACTAGACCAATGCCCCGGGACCAATGCCGTACCACAATTGAGGGGTAACATATTTTCCACACCGATTCTTATACCTGAAAATGGAAAAATCTGTCTTAAAATGTGGGTCCATTGGCTTGACATACCAAATGTAAAAAAGGTACCCCACCTGAGCCGAGTGTGAACCCCCGGGGTGAATGGTGAACACACGGGGCAAGGAATTCTTCGATTTTGATTCAAGTAATTTTTTTATAAAATTCATACTCATGTTAATAGCGGACGCCTTGGCCAAATAATCTTTCAAATCATGCACTTTCCAAGTGATTTTGTAGCAAAATTGTGATAATATATGAACCCCTTGGAATTATTCAAAGACGGACCCCCGCCAGCCCATCCCCCATTCTTACCTATGCTAAACACTAAGATAAACATATAGAATGGTATCTTACACTTTTTTCTAAATGTTGATATCCAAAAAACATATCTTTTTGGTTTATCAACACATACCGCTCACAATATAACAAGTATACAGATTGTAACATAGATAAGCGAATTGGGGAAAATTACAATCCCTTTGATCAAATTATCATAAGATTTAATCTCCAGCTGAGGTGCAATCAAAATGTTGATACACATAATTAGCAGTCAGAAAGATGCTCTTACCACTGTAGTTTTCAATATTCCCTTTGTTGTAACATCTTATTTCAAAAGAATGGATATTGATGGTTGTATGGAAGTATTCATATCAAACATTCACATTATAGTTTACAGTGGAATTCCCTCCATAAATGCAACATATTTACCATTTAAGATTTCATATTGGACTTTCCGCATAATGATAAAATGTTGACGATATAGTTTTCGATAAAACCCCAGGGCCGTAGCCAGCTTTCAGTCGGGGGGAGGGGTGATGCAATCACCAAAATATTTTAGGTTTTCAGTCGGGGGGTGCGATCGTGACATAAATGAGGCAAAAAAAATTTGTTTTGAATTTTTACGAAAATGATGCAACTTCCTTCAAACCTGAGCTAGAAGCTTCAAACAAAAAATCAATTTAATGCTCTTTTCTTCCTCTACCTTATGGTACCTTTTATTGCTTGTAGGAGGGGGTGCGAACCCACCGCTTCTCCTCGTTACGCTTATAAACCCAATAACGTATTCCCAAGGAATCGACTTTATTAATTTATATGTGAAAAATGAGCTTGCATTTACAAATTGCATCGTATGCAAACCTTCCCCTGACCGACCCGGTCATGTTTATGTCTTTTGAATGATGTCTACCCCTTGATGCATGCATCCTTTAATAAGTGGTGTTAAGAATATTGGTGTAGGCCCTGGTGAAGGGATATGTCATAAAGATTTCACGTTATCGCAATATACATGTAGCCGCGTCCCCTTTGTCTTTATCCTTCCAAACGCAAACGGCAGATAAGAGGGGTTCTTAGTGATTGATCTGATGCTTAATAAGCCACTTACAAGATACAGTTTTAAATATTGATATTGTGTAAAGTTTTAACACATAGGCGTAACCAGGGGGGGGGGGGTGCGATTCGTGAATGATCGCACCCCCCCCCCCCTGCTTAACCAATAGAGAAGGAAGAAGAAAGGAGCTTTGAATGGCTTTCATTTGAAACTTCTAGTTCAATTTTGAAGGAATTTGCAATGTCTGGTTCACATTTGCTCAAATTCATCGTCCGGCCTCCGGCCGATTGTGCATTTTGTTTAGAATTGTTTTCATGTTTGAAAAAACACTCAATCGGCCGGCCCCCGGCCGATGAATCGGAGCAAATATGACCCAGGCATATGAGGGGCAACATTTTAGATATAGTATTGTTTGAAATCCTGGGAAAATGCACTCCCCCAATTTTGCAAATCTGGTCTGCGGTGCTAATGAACCCTCTAATTTGTTTCCGTTTACATGAGCAACTAACAGATATGTTTATTCTCATTCTGTCTCAGCTTGATTTTAATTAAATTTTACCCCCACCCTTCGAACGTCTTTGTCTCTCTCATTTTTGCAACCCTACATTCAGTTTCTTTTTAAACCAAATCAAGAAATATCCGTCCACATATCAGATATTAAACCAATAGTTGTTCATTATAAGAACAACCATATATTATATTTATAGATCATAAGCTATTTTTAATTTCAGCTATAAAATTAGTCCTCTCTCCCCTCCTCTATCTCTAGATACGCAGAGTTTCTAGACCGGCTAAGCACGTCTAAAAATTACTAGAAATTCCACAATTTATACAGTGATATGGATTTCATGTTTCTATTGAATCCCTTATTTTGAAGTCTAGCTAAATAATCGAGTTTGATTTTAAACGTTTTCGGGGATCCGGGCAGAACTCAGGATATAGTACTTGAGTACATTTGCATTCAAAATAATTCAAAATTGCAAATATCATGGAAGTTGATTGCAATTATGTTCGATGATCGTCAACATGAAAGAACAATATGTCTGAATAATTAGCTATTAAACATCTTTATCAAAACTTTCCTACACTTTTAAATGTTGATCTTGTCAAAGAGTACTCTCCATCTGAGATTCAGATGTAGATCGAAAATCAAATTGATTTCAAAGGTATTTATAGATGGTTTACATGAGGGGTTCTGTCCATGGTGTATTCCTTTCATAACAAAGAGTTGTTTTGCCTCCGGGGTCCTTAATTATTCAATTTTAAATAGTAACTAATAAGATTAAACAGATCAAAAAGACTCGGGGCACTGCCGTCGCCCCATCATGATCAATACAGGTGACAATAAGCGACACATGTTTCAGCGTCATGATAGTAAACCATGACATCTCAAATCTTCCCAGCCCTTGATTTTTGAGATCTTTCATCCCAGCTCATATTTAATCTAATTGGGGTCATAAAACTTGTGTAACTGTGCCTGTTGCATCCTCGCTGGAAGGGTATTTTACAAGTATAAATGAAGTCCTTTGAAGAAGGATGTGCCTGTTGTTAAATACATGTACAATGCCTTACTACATTATGTAATGTATTGACATTAAGGTAGATGATTACATGATAACAATCACACTTATTGACATTCATAACTCTTCCCATCTGACATGCTCAGATCACAGAATATGCCTCATTATATCAGAGCATGTTTCAGGCGTTTCAGACCCATAGCCAGGATTTGCCAAGGGGTGGGTTACTTTTTTAAGAAATTCCAGGGGGAGTTTACTTTTGGCAATGTTAGTTCATAAATGAGCAAAATAATTTAAAAGGTGCTCAGTATGGGGTAAAAAATGCAATTTTGGTCACGGAGGGGGGGGGGGTCGCTAGAACCAATCTATCCCCCTGTATTCGGGCCTGCATGTGCTATCTACATATTTGACAATTTGATTGACACGGTTCAAAGTGGACTTTGTTAATTATTCAAACTGTTTTGATATCTAGGGATATGCGTCCAAGTTAAAATCACTCGAAATCAGGGTAGATAAACCTAAGAAAAACACATTTCTTGTTTTCATTTGATCTTTAACATGATCCTGTAAAAATGTCAGATTTAGCAAAATACATAGGCGATCTCCATCTGCACACATCTACTCATTTCGACTAAGCTATTGCCTATACTTACACGCACACGCATACTTTTAAATTAATTTTATTTTGATAATGATTTAAAAAACACAAATTATTATTAACACGAAATTAAAATGATTGTTATATTCCAATCCTAGTAAAGTATAATCAAGCGCGACTATAGGGCATAACAACATATGGCCGATCTAATTATACTGTTTGTTTTGATAAGGCTGTGCAAAGAGATATCAAAACTCTTGACACGCTCTTTACACGCGAGGTCTTTGCACCTCTTGACACGTCTTGGAATCTCTAGATACGCGGAGTTCCTAGACTATCTTTGCACGTCTAGAAATTGCTTGGAATTTCACATTTGACGCAGTGCTAGTAATCGCCGGTATAGGTCAGCAGTCATAGGTCAAAGACAAATCACAAGAGGTGCTGTGACCTGGGTTTGAACCCAAGACCTCTACTTTTCAGCCTGAAGCCAGACTCCCTGCTTTTATAGACCAATGCCTTAACCACTAGGCCAACCCGGCGACCACAGACGTATTCCAATCAAGAAATTGTAAATTTAAATTTCTTTAAAAAAATTCAGATATTTGAAAAATAATGTTTCCCCGGGAGAGGTCTATTTTCCAAGGGAGGTGGTACCAAAATGATTTTTTTTCATGTTCCACTATAGATTTTGGTCGATTTTTAGTATGTTATTTCATATGCATATATGTATTGAAAAACAACATTTAATTACTATTGCAATTAGTTTTGGGTCAAATGTTACTTTGACGGGACTAATAATGAAAAATATTATGTTGGTTTACTACTTTATGTACATCGATGTAAGTGCATGCATTTAAATTAATTGAATTGACACAACTCAAAAATTTAATGTAATGGAAAATAATACCTATCTTTGAAATAGTCAGGTGCTGGCATGCTGTTCCTTAACTCGTATGTGCTGTCGAATAAATGCCACGAATTAAAGGTAGTGAAAATATGGATTTTCAATGTAATTAAACCCCACTTTGGTAACAACATGACATGATAAACTGTTAACTATCTTAAAAGAACAGTGAACTATTTTATTTTTGTTTTAAAAATTCATGAATCATGAGCCATTTACCTTTCATGAGAAATATCGTGAGGTTTAAGTTAAATAAACAATTCGTATTGGATCTTAGAAGAACTAGTAGCCTCGGGCCAAGGCCGTCGACTATTTTCCTCCTAAAACCAGATGCGCATGGTTTATTCATATCTGAAATAATCAGTACAAGCTTTTTTACTTAATAAATTAGTGAAATATTACCACTTAGCCACATTACAGTACTTGCATTTTGAAGGATGCAATTGGTTTGTATATGTCATTTTAACTTCTAGCCGTCCCATGATTGAATGTTAGATTTCCTTTGAAATTTAAATAACGTAAAATTGATACCCCTGATATCCTCTTTGACCGAGTCGTGGATATCATATACGATCACTTGCTTTGACTTGGTTGCAGCTCGCGGGAAGATCTGACTTATAAATCCAGGTATATCCTCGAATTATCAGCGTAATTCCTGCGTGTTCATTTCTATTATCCATCATTATGACACATCATTAATGGAATTGTTAGTAATGTAATGCAATTTAGAATGCCTCGTAATCTGGTATGAAATCATTTTTAAAATTGTTTGTGAAAACGTCGAAGAAAATGACATTGTAATGATTCCTAATGAATTTTATGAAATGGTATAACTCTCATAAACTAGAGTAAAGGTTGATTTGAAGTTGTTATAAAATCAGCTTTGAAAATATTCTTACCAAGCCGACCATAGGCTTAAGTTTTATTGACATTGTTAGTAATATATTATGAACTAACAGTTCTTTGTAAAATGTGATTTATATGAAAGAATAACCTTGAAGAATTGTTTTTGAAAAATTCAAGGGAAATAACATCGTCATAATTCCACTCGGATGTAATGAAATTTTAACATGTCTTATGAACTTGATGTCAGATTATGATGAAATTGTAATGAAATCCAAAGTATATGAGAAAATTCATCTTGTTGTGATACCCATTAGATGTAATGCAATCCTAAATTGCCTCAGAGTCTGGATTTTGAAAACATCAAAAGAATAACATTGTATTGATTTTCATTGGATGTTATGAAATGTCAAATGCCTCATAATCCAGAGCCAAGATTGAAATTAAATTGAAATGAATTCAACTTTGTAGATAACATTGAAATTAGTTGTAATGAACTTTTCAAACGTCTCTAAATCTGAATTAAAGATTGTTAAAAAGTTGTAGTTAAATTAATTTGGAAGAATTGGAATCAATCGAATAAAAATAACATTGCAATGATTCTTATTTGATGTTTAAATTATAATCTTCCTCGTAATCTCAATTCAAGTGATTTTGTAGTGAAATTGTAATGAATCGACCTAGAAATGGCATATGAAAATAACAATGGACTTCAAAATGTTAGTTCTCTAATCACTAATAGGCAGTGTGTAAAGTATAAAAAGCGTGTACATATATTTCAGTACAATTAAAAATCCAAATTTCTAATACCCCCCTAGCTTGACATAGGTGTTGCTGTCGTCATCTATCTGAGCTTCGTCGCCTTGATAACATAAAAGTCAAAATTTAGGATATTACAACATCACTTAATGCTTATAAAGGTTATATTATACATTACTAAAATTTATGTTAGCAAATAGGGTAAAAAAAAGTAAATGTCCAAAACATAATTTCCGACATTACGTATATAACGTGTGTACACCAATGAAACAATTCTGTGTAAAAAGCCTCAAAAACACGTTCAATGATTAGATTGGCTTTCACAAACCATCATGTAATAACAATGTTTTTGTAAGATCCTTCCAATAAGCAAAATATGTTGATTTCGACATTGAAAATCACATTTGAAATAAAACACATACGCTTAACGTATCACATTTACCATTTCGTTAGATACTAAAATGATAATTAAATGAATGGTACTTCGATCAAAAAATTGTGCTTTTTATATAGAAAATGCAATTTAACAGCTAAAAGATCCCACTTAAGCTGCTTCTTTCTTTTGAATAGAGACCATTATGTTATACTTTCGATTATTCATTTCTTCAAATCCAATCTCCAGATCTAGGGAAAATATAAGCCCACGGTTTTTGTCCTAAAAATGTATATCTTATGATGTTAATCTACCACATGCATACCCTTTATGGTAAACAAAAACAATGTGTTGTTTTTTATAGGAAAGTAAAAAATGCATTAAGAAGTCTTCGTCGTGCTACCTTGACCTACTTTTGACCCATTCGACCTATTTTTGAGATCCGACTGCCCCACTATCCATTAGTGTTATAAATACGGTATCCACATTAAGGCAAAAAGTACAACAACGAATTCGTTTTGCGATAATAATAATGGCCCTTATGAGTATCTATTACAGGTCACGTAATCCATTGTTGCCTGATTTATAGCAAAAAACATTGACTTTTGCAGGCCGGTGACGATGCGCTTTTTAATAGATCTAATATATTAGAAGCAAATGGGTAAAAATAAAATTGATACCATACCATACGCCTATTCGTTTAACAATTAAATAGTAAAGCATTTTTTGAAAACATAGATCTGCCAGATTATTTGCAAAAACTTCCCACTCAACTCCCTTCGTCTAATAACCATAATGCGTTTTAAGGCATGTGCATTACTTACCTGGATTTGTTATTGAGTATAAAGTTGTGTTTAATTTCTTTAATCCGTCATCAAGATATAACCTCGGCGATTCCATGTGGTTGTAAACCTGAAAGGAATCATTGGTTTCATAAAAAACACGTTTCGACCCTTAGTTTCAAAGTTAGATAATTCTCAATTACTTCAGCTAGTGTTATATTCACAAATACAATTAATATAATTCTATACCGTACATAAACAAACAACAAGGACCACCATGTCTAAAATGCAATAATTGCTATGTAACATCGACCTCCTCATAGAAATCTTAAGTTAAACGTAATTATTTGCTAACACATTCACAAAAGAAACCTACTATTACTTCTCATATCTAAAATGTATTAAAATGTAATGCAGCAATTATAAGAAATATAGTTTATTTGAATCAATACATTTGTAAAAAAACTTCCAAATTCAGACTGAACCTTTCTTCATCTTGTGGCAAAAATTACAGGTCGCTGAATGGATTGAAGAGCCATATGGCTCTGACCCATGGTCTAAAATATTTTGTCCACATCTTACAGAAAATGTCAAAATATGATTTAACTTGACTCTTCTCGTGACATTGTAATATAATAAAAATAAAAAAAAATATCGTAGATTATATAGCATATTATCTATTTATTGGCTTTGAATATGAGAACTGTAATTCTAAATCCCTGGAGAGACTATCACTTTTCCTGTCTAGGCATGCTCTTCGTGAAATCATCCAGATATGTTCGAAAATACAATTTTCTATCATCGGAACTTAGCCATTTTTGCTTTCTCATATTAATAATATGGCATATTTGTCCATTTTTCGTAAATAGTTTTGTCAAAGGTCCTTGTGCAGTATGGCAAGTGATTTTAGGCAGTCATATATTTCACCTTGAGTACTTTCTCGCCATAAATACAATGTTTTTTTTTTATTAAAACAAAATGTTTTCTTTCAAGTAAAGTCCCCGTGATAGTAAAATATAAATCCAACTCTTTAAAAAAGGTTATGGATTATGGTCCCAGCACCTTGGCACTTTTTAAAAAATGCTAGGCTTATTTTCTAATAAAAAGAGGATCTCGTTTTTCTCAATTTAAACATATCAAAAGTTTATTCTACACTATATTAACAATTTCTGAAAAGGGGATGCGTATTGAAATGCGTTAAAGTTAAGAACTGCATACCCCATGTTATTTTCCCGTAGGGAAAACTCGTGCTATCCATTGTTTTCAGCATCATTTTGTTAATCGAAATTGATATCTTCAAAACTAGCATTTCAATACCACTATAATTTTGAAGATGTTTCGATCCCTTGTTGAATTATCTTTTCATGCAATAAAAGTCAGAAAAATAAGATCCTCTTTTGAGTAAATAGGTTCAATTGGTTAAAAAATGTTGTCATCTCTATTCATAATTTTTCGAATTGTTTGATATTTTTATCATCATGGGTAATTCACTTGAAAGAAAACATATTGTTTTAATAAAAAAACAATATATTTATGCCCAGAAAGTACTCATAGTGAAAGACGTGACTGTCTAAAATCACTTGCCATACTGCACGTGGTCTTTCGATGTACTGACTGGTTTATTAGGTAAATTCCAAGAAACACAGATTTTTTTATTATAGTTTTGAATGATTTTATGTTGGAGAATGTCTCCAAGGAAAATGATATATCTCTTAGTTTCCAAAGTTGATGCTATGCAAGCATAGTAATTTTTTCTCCATTGAACATTCCTTAATTTTTGAGAGAGTTATTCCAAAATTAGTAGGTGGCATTTTTGTGTCACCCTGTACGATATTTGTTGAATTTTCAGCAGCCATTTTGAGAAGAAGACTTGAAAAATACAGTATACATAGAAAGCAAATGCTCGATAAACTTGAATCACACGGCAATCCAATTAAACACCTTTTCAACATGGAGGACGATTCCTTTTTTTCCATTATTGTATGTCTTGTGAAAATAATGTATGTATCTTTATTTCCCACATATATGTGGATTTCATATAAACTTATATTACAGGCGCATTGACACTAGTATTCTGCTAGCGTCATTAATAATAACATCACAATTTTAAAGGTACAAGGTTAAATAAGAAAACAATACAATCATGTGGTTAATTTTGTGCAGTGTTCGGAAATGGAGGTACCAATGATACATTATTTTCCCTTATCAATCAATCAACATAGTGTAAATACTCTGTAACTACAGTTGTTGAGATCTCTGTGTTTGAGTATGGTGGTTTGCAGATCATAGCACTGACGTTCGGTAAACGACTGAATTCTTCATCTTGGTTTAAGTTGAGGGCTCTGATTACTTTCTCTCTTTGCGAGTTGTGGTTGGCGCACTCTTGAAGAATATGTGAAATAGTGTCATTGTAAAGCATTCCACATTTTTCACACAAAGATTCCCTATTTTCGAGTGGCATTGATATCACCTTCGCCATTGTTAATGATTCTCTCAGTATCGTATGGTCCTTTAGAGCAGTTTTCCATAATTGGTGTTCTCTTAATCTGTTTGTTGGTATCCGTGCATCTGTTCTGTTTGCTCTATTTTCAGAGCATATTTGTGTCTGTTTTACCTGATATCTGCAGATTTTATTCCATAGCTTGTTTGGTGGAAAGTATCCATTGTCAAGATAGTTCAACAATAGTCTTCAAGGTTGTGCTTTTCGAGCACATTCCATATATCCGGTATATAACCTTTCTGTACAATTTTATTGGTTTTTAGATGATTTGAATGTGCTCTGAATAAGAAAACGTCCTTAGTTATTGAGGTTTGATTCATGTTGCATAGCCTTCCCAGGAACGAAAGTTTCCTACTGTGCTTTCAATGGGCATGGTGTCTGTGAGGCCATGAACATCATCTGTTCTGGTTGTTTTACTCAATTCTAGGAGATTTTTAAGTACTAGCCTTTGGGCTCTCTCTAGTTCAAGTATATTGCTGTTAGTTAGATTGTGCCAGAGTTCACATCCATAAAGCGCAGACGGTATGCAAATTGAATTTATCAGTTTGAGACCAGTTAGCGGATTAAGACCCTTGGGATGTACCCCTATGCCAACTAGGGACGCAAACGAGCCTCTCATCTTCTGACACGCATTGGTGATAGTGCGTTGGCGCTCTAGTGTTGATTGAAACAAGTTTTCAAGATGTTTCATTTTTTCCGTTTCATTCATCTCCCCTATTTCTGTTGTCCATCTTCGAGTTAGGCGTAATTTTTCATTTGTCTGTTTTGATTCTCCAAAAGTCATAATTGATGGTTTTCCTACTTTGAAATTAAAACGCCATTGTTTGGAGTAATCAATGACTATTGACATCATGCGATCTAATGCTTGTTTGGTGTTAGCTATTAGAGCAATGTCGTCCGCATATGTCGCAATGCAGCAACGGATGTCGTGCATCATTGTTCCGTAACCTGAGTTTTCTATCATAATCAGGAGTTCGTCAATGTAAATGGTATACAGCCAGCCAGATAGAATTCCGCCCTGCCTCACAGATTGTTCAATTGGAAACCACTCTGACTGATACCCTTTAAATACTATAGCACCCGTGTTTATATTGTTCATCAAGGATGTTCCAGAAGCGCCCGCGGATTCCTAGATGATGCAGCTTTAGAAACAGACCAGAGTGATACACGGTATCGTAGGCTTTGGCGCTGTCAAAACAGGAAATAAACGTTTTTTGACCGCGTTCTTTGTTATAATATATTGTCTCCAGAATGTTAAAATTACATGAGTATCACAATCACCATGCATGTGCTCATACATGATACATATTTATTTGTTCATTTATTTACTTATTTATTTATTATGAAGTATTAACTGTGTGTGTTGTTATATACTGTTTTCTGTTGTATATTGTAAAATTAGTGTTTACTTTGTTTACACTTAACCCTTTATGGGTATGCATGTGTAATAAAGTTCATGAATCTAAATCTATGTGAGAACTACAGACCATTAATTTTCTATTAATTTTCCATTGCTTTTTGAAAATAATATTATTATATTGTTTGAATCACTATTACTATCACTATATTTTAAAAGCCCTAACGAAATTTATGGACCCGTGACTTCTATTTTAGCTAAGAATCGTTTCCTTAGGCTCTAGGTCAGATATGGTCACGCGTAGGCATCCGAAAGGGGAGGGATACGTTTCTATTTTTAAGTCGCGGAATTTGTCCATACATGAAGCTTAGAAAAAATGACACTCGAAGGAAAAAAGATTGTGCTCTGGCGAAAGAGTTTTCGAAGTCACTTTAACGGGTGGTCTAGCTACACGCCCTTGTGACACCATTAGGAAATGAGTTAGAGAAGTGAATGATTAAATCCATCTGTTTTCAACTAAAAAAAAAATTAATTTCATGAAAGATATATGGTTTTAAATGGACTATTGACTAAACAAAATACCTTCATACTTTTCTGTTAAAGTTGACTACGAAAGGGAGTGCAAAGTGTACCATAATTTTACTGCTTCCCGTATAAGTCATCTCACAAGGTGTTGCCTGATCAGCCAACTACTGACAATGCGCCTCAAACCATTCGTGCCAATAACATGTCACTTACCGTAAAAAGAACGCTAAATATAGCTCTCCCATTAGGTTTTCCCACCGCGTCCTTGTATTCGACATACATATTTGTATTCCATGTCATAATTTGCAACTGTAAAATATGAAAGTAATACTACATGACGTTAATCAGACATAAAATTTAAGTAAATACACTCGCATTTAGAGAGGTTTCGCACAAGGGTTAGCACCCGTATCTCGTTGCGTTTATGGATACGTATTTCAATAAATTTCGGTTCGCAGTATTTTTGGAAATATGAATTAGAAATGCATCTCAATCTGCGACGAATAGTAGTCCGAACAAGAGTCAAATAAATGATTTCATCTGCATTAAGATTTCACAATGTGCAGATTAAACATAGGGATACGACCTATGACGTACATTTTCTGCATCGGTTTTCTGAAGCAACGGCCGTCGAAGAGAAAAATTATTGTAAGCTTAAAATGCGCAGTAACACTAGCTTGTGTTCTTAACTCTTCCAACACGGAGCCACAAGTGACCAAAGGTCAAGGCCGAAAGTGTATAAAAATCGAAGTAAGATAAATAGCCATATATGATTGCAACCGGTTAGTATGAAAGTAAACATATGATTAAACTTATGAAGAATTGCTATCTTGTTACAAATACATTCGGATAAGTAAACATTTTACCTCAAGTGGTTTTTGTTCGCCATCTATGATGTGCTCTGCAGGCCACTTAAATATGGACTCATGTACCCTGTACTGTCCGGGCAGGGCACCAAGGTCGTAAAACACCAAATAATGCTTCGTTGGAATCGTCATTAGAACTGAAGTATAGAAAATGAGAACGTAGTGATCATTTTAAATGTGTATATTTTATATATTATGTGTTACTATAATTTTATAATAGAGTCGTTAAAACAGCTTCCTTTGATGAGGGCTGTCAAGGTCCATACATAACGGCTGTACATAATAGATGTATTCAATACCAGCGAGTTCCATCAATCCTATACCTTTTATATGTTGTATATGATCTTAAGGTCAGACTTGATTTTCTCGAACGATTTTCTTTTTTTGTTATTTCACGAGTTGTAAGCAGAATTCCCAAGACATTTGTATCACAAACCTGTCATATATTCTAGAAAAGCTACAAGTTTGCGAACAAATAGTTCAAGTTCAACGGAATTGTCGATTTTATACTTCACTTAGACAGCGAAGCATTTTTGGCACTCAAAAATTTATTGTGAAAGATAATTGACAATTTACCATATAATGTCAAAAATATACCTCCCTAGGTCACGTTAACCTCAATTTGTTGACCTTTGTTGACCTCATTAAAAAAACTTTCTTGGGTAGGTTGAATGGTTTATAGAAATACCAGCAATATTGAAATCAGACAAGTGATAAAAAGCCAGAGGGGGGGGGGTCAGAATGACTTCATAAAGGTTAAAAAGAAAGTTAATCGACAATTATTCGCGAATCGCGTTCTCTTCACGAATTTTAGAAAAACGTTTAATTAAAAAACTACTTGAGGGACGAAGAAAATTACATTTTAATTAATTGTCTAATTAGTGTATTTTGGCACCTTGTTTATCATGTAAAATCTCATTAATCTTTTGTTATATATAAGTGATTATTTTGATATAGGTCTCTTGCCTGCTCGTTAAAATATAAGTGCGTTTACTCTTATAATCATATTGCTCTAGTCTAGAAATATAGTTCGAAGATATTCATTAAAAACAAAATATTGAACAGTTGTGTGATTAATGTGAAAATTAAAGAAAATGACCTGGACTTTGATCTTGACCTTTGACGCTAAAAACTCTTATATAGTCAACTGACCTTTTAAGATCTTCTTGGATTGATGTATCTTATTTTATATAGTTAAAATGACGATCTTGCAGGCAGCAGGCAGGCAGGCGGGCGGGTAAGTGTGTAGAGCAGGGGCGTGCAGGCATTTATTTTCGATATTGTCTTCTTGACTCTTGACTTTGTATCAGGATATAATCATATTCATATTTTATAATTTTGAAATTTGGCTTAGAATCTGAACCAGAAATCTGAACTCTTCATTACTGGAATCCTGAGACTTTGTCAAGATGTTTGTAAAACATTTTTGGTCAAATTGAAGCAAGTTCAAATTGGCCTATGTTACCGTTTTTGCGTCAACTAACCTTCGAGGTCATTTTGTATAGCAAACGCTCATTACTGTATTTTATTTGCATTCAACCTGTATTTCATATTTTTACAATCCATAATTTTCTTTGGTCCCACTGACTTAACATGGGATACCATAAAATAGCGCTTTTTCATATTTCGAAACAACACAACACCTAAACGGGAAATCAGATCGAAATTAAGTTTTCATATTCGGATTCCTGAGAAAATAGTACACCTTTTCATAACTCACACGTTAAATTTAGAGAAGTTTGTTTTGCACTTCATTTTGCACACCATACCTAAAATTCTGGTCAAAATACTGTCTGACGCCAAAGGCCAAATCCTATTAACATACCCTTGGCTATCGGTATACTAAATGTCGAAGACTGTCATTAACACTGTTCCACAGCTGGATGACTGCAACTGCAGTTAGAGTCACGCTGAAATCCTTTCGTTTTCAATAAACCTCCGATTCCGATTCTAACCTACAGTGGGGATCATAAAGAATTGCAAAAGCTATGAAAATTACATGCTGTCGCACATGTAATAAATTCTTACCTCAGTGTATTCAGTGCTCTATTTTCTCCGTCTTAGTAAGTCCAAATATAGTGGAATTTGTGTCCCTAATGACAAATAAGAACTTCAAAAGTCGAATTGGATATTCACATGTTATGCCGACTCTTCAAATGTTGAGGTGATTTTGTCGCCCGATTGCGCCGGAACAGAGGATTGGCTCCCAGAATGCAACATGACACGTGCCAGCTTTCAAAATGCTGTTCCGCCATTTTGAAACCTGTCATGAGTAAATATGGTTAACTGATGTTGCATTCTGGGAGTCAACCGTCTTTGGATAACAAACATGGCGATTCATGAAAACATTCATTCGATTTGGTAGGGATTTATCCATTATTTGCAGGTATGAAGCTTTGGATTCATTTATTGTGCTACTTTAGTGAACGGGAATTATTTTTCTACCGCTTGGGAGAGTTTGAGACACGAAACTTGGAAATAAGCTCATTGTGACAACTTGTGAACGTTGAGTTTTATTTTTGTCCCCCACTGTAAGTAGAATCCGGATTCCAAAAGCCACGATTGTAAATAACCACAAATAAATGCTCAAACAACCGCAATATTGGAGAATTTTAAAGGAAATGGCTTCACTTAGAATAACTCTAACTGACGTTGATGATGGCGTAATCATGACGTAGCTAATCAAATTCAATTAGAGTCATTCTCATTGAAGCCGTTTTTAAAATTCCAGTTTCCAGTCTGTATCTCGTATTTCACAAGTCATGATTTTCGTAAGCCTCGGTCCGTTGTCTTAACATTGGAAATCATTGAGATTTCAAAACGCTTTAAGTTCCGAATCAGAAGTCGAATCGAATTTTGGTTTGCATATTTATATTCCTGGTGAGTCTTACAACTTTTGCATAACTCATAAATTAAATGTGGAGATATTTTTGTTTACCTTCTTTTTGACACTGTTTTTTCATTAAACGGTACGAGTTATTTACCCTCCGGACTGAGTTTTTTTGGAAGAAACATGATGGCAAAAACAGAGCAAAAACATTAAAGGACAACTGATAAATGTGGTCAAATAGTAAAAAGTCAAGATTTGATCTAGTTCTTGAAAAAGAAGAAGAAGAAGAAGAAGAAGAAGAAGAAAAAGAAGGAGGAGGAGAAGAAGAAGAAAAAGACGAAGAAAGAGGGGAATGAGAAGAAGAAGAAGAAGAAGAAGAAGAAGAAGAGGGAGGAGAAGAAGAAGGAAAATACGAAGAAAGAGGGGAATGAGATGAAGAAGAAGAAGAAGAAGAAGGAGAAGAAGAAGGAAAACACGAAGAAAGAGGGGAATGAGAAGAAGAAGAAGAAGAAGAAGAAGAAGAAGAAGAAGAAGGAGGAGGATGCCTAGGAGAAGAAGAAAAAAAGACGAAGAAGAAGAAGAAGGACGAGAAAGAGAAGGAGGAGGAGAAGAAGAAGAAGAAGAAGAAGAAGAAGAAGAAGGAGGAGAAAGAGAATGAGAAAGAGAAGGAGAAGAAGAAGAAGAAAAAGAAGAAGAAGAAGAAGAAGAAGAAGGAGTATGAAGAGAAAGAGAAGGAGGAGAAGAAGAAGAAGAAGAAGAAGAAGGAGAAGGAGGAGGAGGAGGAGGAGGAGGAGGAGGAGAGGAAGAGGAGAGGGGGAGGAGGAGGAGAAGAAGAAGAAGAAGAAGAAGAAGAAGAAGAAGAAGGAGGGGGAGAAGAAGGAGAATAATAAGAAGAAAAAGAAGAAGGAGGAGGAGGAGGAGGAGAAGGAGAAGAAGAAGACGAAGAAATGATGATATTGTGAAAATAAACATGACTCCATCTGTCGATCAAAAAATATTTTAAGTGTTTGTAAATATTCAAATCTAGCTGAAAAGCTGAAAACAGCTGAAAACTCCGGAAAAGTGTATAGTTTATTTCTACAAAATACCAAAGCAGTCCCTGGTCAACCCTTGTAGTACATGCCAGTTATGCAATCGTGATCCAAATGACAATTTGTAATGCAACGATATACCAGTGGTTATATGATAGATGTTTAATGGTCCAATTTTCATCGTTGGTCAATGCTTATTTTCAACATAACGGGCGGTAGAATTCTCATAGTTATGTAATAAATCACCCTGCCCACTCCGACACAGACTTGCATTGCTATATATACAACTTAAAGGACTATTAGTATATTCGATCAATAAATATTATTTATTTCGTTACTGACCTCCGTCACCAATGTTCGTCAATGTAGCTCCTGTTAATCGTTTTCTATCATTTAAAAGAAATAACGGGGTGCGGTTGGGGTCTATCAAAGTGTCCATTGCTCTTATTTCTATTGGTGATTGGTTCTGGCCGCCGCATGTTGGATACTTCTCTTTCCAGTTAGCGGGACCTGTAAAATAAAATTTGTTTACGTCTACTATTTACACTCTCCTCTAAAAGCTTGTCAACTAGACGTTCAATTTTAGATCATGAGTCATTTAAAGACCATTCATATTCCATGAATTAACCTTTATTACAATGACACATTGTAACATCAATATTCAATGCATCTTTTGAATTAAAACCATTTTCGTATAAGAATTACAACGTAACAATGTGCCATTTTAATACCTCTAGATTGTAATAAGCCATACGCCCCCTGGCGTGTCTTTATCACTTTTATGTAAATATGTCACATGATTTTGTTAAAAAAGATGAATAAAAATTGTCAAGCGGCACAAATCTTACCCAATGGTGAAGTTGGATCGTAATTCCAATCTGAAAATGCAAATATCAAACATGTCTTAACTAATGCAAATGGTATTACAACCTAAAAATAAAACTAGAACGTTTCGGGCTCACCAAACAATGAAGGGCGCCTTGGACGCAAAGTAACCAACCCGAACATATTTGAATTCTACCCTGTGTGCAGAGTCTAGTTATGAGCTCTACCAAGTATACAGGGCTTCATGATGACCGTCTCCACATCCATTGCCCATCCAGGCAATACTAGATCACATGCTTCAATAATCCATATACCGTAATAAATTCTGGACCAAAACTTAGCATGCCTGATTTTTAGGACATAATTTATGAACTTGAATTCGGTAGTCACTTATCTCCTCAATTTGCTTGTTTTATGTCTACTATTCCTGATGAATTTAAAGAGAGGAGTAGAATGCTATATAATCCATTATATCATCTAGTGCTCTCTGGTCATTTCTATGAAATATTTAATACTTTTGTCTTTCAAATATCATTAAGATATATCCTAAGCATTATACATTACTATTGATATTTGTATATATATTGCATTGAGGCATGGTTACCATAGCGATTAGCAGGACACATGGCCAATATTGGAAAAAAATGGTTTTCAGATTATTTGTAAAAACCGTAGAGCTTCATCAAAGTTGTTTCAATAAGTCCAGAATTGAACGAGCTTTCATATGATGTATAACATATGTGGGTCTGCTATTTAGGATTGGTGCTTGATGAGGGGGAAGGTCAAATTATGAAACACCCTGTAGACTATGTTACAGTTAAGCAGCCCAGTAATACTATAGTCAAAGGGAATATTACTGTACTTTGTACATTGACCTAGTGTGCCTTTGGATAGAAGGGTTAAAAACCTGAAACCCAGCATATTCCTATTGGGCAAAATCCCAATTGCCCAATCAAGTCCCACCGTGCCCCATACAGCCCCATAATATCCCTGACACCTTGCTAGCTTCTCCCAATGGAGTCTCATCGAGTCCTACCATACATTTTCGCTGATACATTGTACATGGCATTCCGATTGCCTCTAAGACCCCGAATGCTAAAAGGGTCTGATTTGTAATCCATTAGTTTAGAATTTCAGATTGTACATAATGGAAAATATGAAATCAATTAGACTGATATAAATAGCAAACTAGATAAACATATCAAAATGCATGCTAACACGTGTAAAATTCAAGATTAAAACTTTTAACATCGGGTGGATAAGATGGAAGAAGAAAACATTACCTTTTCCATATGCTAGGAGAGGTAGTAGTAAAAAGACCAACATCCTGTAGGTCCTAAAAGTGAACATGAAGTTACATAATGCTATGGGCACCCCAGTTCATGTAAAGAAACACTAACACCCCAGTCACATTTGTCGCACGGCGGCCGCAAGTCCACCGCAGATCAATTAAATCGGTAAATTTCTGCGGCGAGCGTAGAAAAACTACGCTCGCCTTGCGGCCTCCGTACGGCTAATGCAGATTTTTACAGGCCGCAGGGAAGGCGTAGAAATTATAACTCGGAGTTATAATATTCGTTCATTTCTGAGGTCCCCGTAGAAATCAACTGGCTCAACAAGATTGAATCATTATTTATCAATGTTTCACGATCACTTTTCATTTGATATTACATCCTAGCACTATGAATAACATTTTTAAATTGTCCTGATGTAAATAAAATGAAAAAAGTATTATTTATCGACAGAAATTTAAAATTCACCGTGCGGCTGCCGTGGGAAATGTGAATGCAAAAGTATGAGAGCGCAGAAATTCTGCGGCGAGCGTAGAAAAGCAATGATAGACCGCAAGGTCGCCGTAGGAAATGTGACTGGGGTGTTAGTTGGCTATTTAGATTCATCGACTTAGATCTACCAAATCAATCAAATTCTCCCAATAAGCTTTCTGTGAAAGATTTACTTTCAAAAAATAACTGACTTAATCACCTACTATTACGCACATCACCCTCCTAGACCAATCTTTTTAAGACTTCCGAACTTTTTAATTCAAAAGCAAAAATTCGAGTGAAAGCTTACACCCCAGTCACATTTCCTACGGTAGGTGGTAGGTGTACCATCTAAAAGCATCAAAACTGACTTAAAAACTCATTAATTATTTTGCCTTCTTAAAAGTGAATTCAAAAAAGGTAAAGACCAATCCGTCAAAGACTCCATAATTTTCAATTCAATAGCAAAATATTTCTTTAGAGTCGACATTTCTGTTGTGTACTTCTTTGTCGATATAAATTTCAGATTAACAACGCGCATTATAATTACAAAGTTACAGATACAAAGTAAAATTTAACAAGGTTGTACAATTATTTCCCTTTACCTCCCTCAATAAAGTTTATACTTTAAAAAAGGATTAATGTAAAATTAATTAAAATACATTTCAAAAATAGTAAAATCAAAACTAACAGAATTCGCATTTTCTACATTTAAATATACTGTCTACATTACTTTGGAAAATAATAAGTTTACTAGTTAATCATATCTGTACTTACCCAGACTCAGGCCTGTAGTCCCTGGTAGATGAATGCATCACATGCAGATTCATGACACATACATTAATATAATCACCCTTGATGTAAGGTACTGGGTAATATAAATAACTATTAATTTCAAATAAAGCATTGTTAAGTGCCATTTATGTCATATTGTATTGAATTATACATTACTTAATATGTCTACACATCTCACTCTAGCCTAATGATCCGTAGAAAACATTAGTCGACTTTGCTCTAAGGCGGAAGTAGCACATTAAAACCATTTTATTTTTTATTTCATGTGATACCATAAAAAATAGATATGAAAATATTGATAGACTAAGTGTAATTGACACATTAAAAATTAGTCAAATGAACAAAAATATATGACATATGATGATTATGTACATTTTTACCTTGATCTATATTAATATGGAGGCCGTGGACAATATTAACAAGTTGATTTACTGGATTGTGTTTTCCCAGTAACACCCCAGTCACATTTCCTACGGCGACCTTGCGGTCTATCATTTATGCGGCCAGTAGCTTTTCTACGCTCGCCGAAGAATTTCTGCGCTCTCATACTTTTGCAGTCACATTTCCCACGGCAGCCGCACGGTGAATTTTAAATTTATATTGATAAATAATTAATTAATTAAAAATATTTTATTCGTCTATAAGTTTTACATACATTATATTAATACAATTGGACGAAATGGATCGGACAAGAGGCTTTCGCCTATTCTAAGTCCTCTCCTTATATTGATAAATAATAGTTTTTTTTCATTTTATTTACATCAGGACAATTTATAAATGTTATTCAAAGTGCTAGGATGTAATATCAAATGAAAAGTGATCGTGAAACATTGACAAATAATGATTCAATCTTGTTGAGCCAAGACCGGGGACCTCAGAAATGAACAAATATTATAACTCCAAGTTATAATTTCTACGCCTTCCCTGCGGCCTGTAAAAATCTGCATACGCCGTACGGAGGCCGCAAGGCGAGCGTAGTTTTTCTACGCTCGCCGCAGAAATTCACCGATTTAATTGTTCTGCGGTCGACTTGCGGCCGCCGTGCGACAAATGTGACTGGGGTGTTACACCCCAGTCACAGTCACATTTCCTACGGCGACCTTGCGGTCTATCATTTCTGCGGCCAGTAACATTTCTACGCTCGCCGTGGAATTTCTGCGCTCTCATACTTTTGCAGTCACATTTCCCGCGGCAGCCACACGGTGAATTTTAAATTTCTGTTGAAAAATAATACTTTTTTCATTTTATTTACATCGGAACAATTTATAAATGTTATTCATAGTGCTAGGATGTAATATCAAATGAAAAGTGATCGTGAAACATTGACAAATAATGATTCAATCTTGTTGAGCCAGTTGATTTCTACGGGGACCTCAGAAATGAACAAATATTATAACTCCGAGTTATAATTTCTACGCCTTCCCTGCGGCCTGTAAAAATCTGCATTCGCCGTACAGAGGCCGCAACGCGAGCGTAGTTTTTCTACGCTCGCCGCAGAAATTCACCAATTTAATTGATCTGCGGTCGACTTGCGGTCGCCGTGCGACAAATGTGACTGGGGTGTTAATAATACTTTTTTCATTTTATTTACATCGGGACAATTTATAAATGTTATTCATAGTGTTAGGGTGTAATATCAAATGAAAAGTGATCGTGAAACATTGACAAATAATGATTCAATCTTGTTTAGCCAGTTAATTTCTACGGGGACCTCAGAAATGAACAAAAATTATAACTCCGAGTTTTAATTTCCACGCCTTCCCTGCGGCCTGTAAAAATCTGCATACGCCATACGGAGGCCGAAAGGCGAGCGTAGTTTTTCTACGCTCGCCGCAGAAATTCACCGATTTTATTGATCTGCAGTCGACTTGCGGCCGCCGTGCGACAAATGTGACTGGGTTGTAAGCCACTCTGAAATTTATACAAAAGGTTACTGTCTAACAAGTGAAAAAGAAGTATTTTTATGAATACTTTCCTAGATATTAGAAAAGGTGCATAATAGGATGATTGGTATATTAAAGGTAAGTAAATCTCCCTTTTCTTAAATATTGGAGTTACATAATATGTCAAATGAGGAGATCTGTGAGGATACCAAATGTTCAGCTTGAAGCACAATGAGATTGGAGGGGGAAAATAATTCAGATGGAAATGTCCTGTTCAAACTGAACCGTTTTCTTTGAATTACGATGTTTGTAAACGTTTCAGCATAAATACAGTAGACTGTTGACAGTCAGTTAAAAAGCTGTAAATGATTATCATCGTAAAATCCTTCAAATGCACAGTCACTCCCAGCATATATACAAATGTCGTGTAGCTTCCAAGTCGAGGTCTCAGCAACGTATCACAGCAAAACAAAACTGACTGAACATCATAACATGTTTCTATCTCTCTCCTTAATCGACCATATCAGTTCTTATTTACAGGACATAACTATAATGTATTGCCCATCACTCAACAATCAGTATAAAGGTAGTCCCATGTAACATTTTTGAAAGGTTATGCTCCATGGGTAAAGATACTCTACTGTACCTAACACTTAAGATACGATACTTTGTTTGTCTACTTTGTATTTTTAGTATATTTTTGAAAGTGCCTTGGTAACATCTATCATTTAACCGATAAACCATTAATAAGGAACACACAAAAAAATACATAATCATTACTTATAAGCCAAATGGGTTGCACGTGAACACCAAATGCAAGGTATCGTAGAGTGAAAGAGAGTGGAAGCACTGCGTGTGATTCCATTGAACGCAGTTCGAAGACATCACTCAGAAGGTGCAGCAAGAACCTTTGACTGCTAATGTTTTGCTAATTGATTGTTAGCATAATTGCGAAACTTAGTTGTCTCCTTACAGTTTATATTATAAAAATAACATGTTACATCATTTATTATTGATATACCAAGGTGAATGACAAGGCTAACCTGACCTGGCTTTGCAATTCAGTTTGAAAAGATCAGTCGATATTCAACTTAAGTATATTAAGTACAAATAACACTGTGACCATGCTTCTTACGCTAATTACGGGAAATAGACACAAAGGAAATAAACATAATCTTTTTTTGAAAAATGAGGCTAGACAAGTATTTTTAACGGTTGTCTGGTGTGTGCTCATTTGACTTCTAATATTAATTAATAATAAATTGTTTGTACACAGTGTGTTAAAATGTCAAGGCTATGAAACGAATAGACCAGCTCGTTAATAAATTGCAGTGATATTTCCTTGTGATTGCGCCAGCATTGCAAATGGCAAATTCATATTAGATAACAATCGTGTGATCTAATGGCCTTGCAACTCTATAATTGCATCCTGCATTTTTGCATGTTAGTATTTTTAAATACTAGTATATTAGAACAACCATATCACAATGATTACATTGTTCTTAAGATTACGTTATCCTCAGATTTGCTTTTTTTCTTTGAACATTGGATTCCCGGAATGCATACTATACCTTAAAGGACTCATAGGTTTACAATCAATCATCTGAATAAAGTATCTACTATTTTTTGAATATATTTCTAGCGTACCCAAAAAAGATACCATATTGCCGTCGGCTTGGCGGGCGGCGAGCGGCGTCTAACTTTCTTGTAATTCACAATTCCAGGAAAACCACTCCACGGATTTACTTCAAATGTTCACACATGTTACACGGTAAGAAGTTCAAGAGCTGATCAACTTTTAAACAGCCATCTTGCATTCTGGCGGCCATCTTGGCAGTTTTTAGATAAATCTTGTTACCGTGATTCCAGGAATCTATTTGACGGATTTACTTCAAAGGATGGGTATCGATATTATGACCTTTTTGAACAGACGTTTCTCTTAAATCAGTCATCAACAAATGATAAAAATCGTTCCCATTGTCAATTTAATGCTCATCTTTTGAATGGTAACAATATAATTTGAAATAGATATATACAGGGTGGTCCAAATAAAGTGGACCCTTGCAACCGGCTATCTTTCCCTTATAACCTGCAGGAATCCTTTCATAGTTTCACATGTTGTAGGGGAAGGTCTAACATTTTTGTTGGTTCTATACATTTTTTTAGTATTGACATTTTCAGAAATCATAAGCTCTAAAGAAACATCACTGAAAATGCGTCAAATGTGATCTTCAATATCTGCGATTTTTTTTTATTTCAGTTTATCAAGTACAGTTATACAATAGTTTTACATACATATAGTACACAATAGTTTCACATGACTTTTCTTATATATAGCTCTTGTACCAATAAGTATTCTAAATTTGGATGTTGTCCATATTTATACTTGCTAATACAGTTTTTTTGTTATTAATACAATATTATTAACATAATTCTCAATACATGTTTTCTTATTTGTATATTTAAGCAAAATTTCCATTTTTGTTAATTTTATAGAGCATCCGAATTTTGCATTTATTTTGTTCATTATTTCTTTCCATATATGTTTTACCTTTTTACAAGAGATGAAGAAATGAACATATGAGTCTTCTTCATTTCTGCAAAATTTACAATTGTTTGAGTTTGTCCCTTCAATTTTCCATTTAAATAGATGAATATTTGTGGGATATACCCTATACAATATTTTGTACTGTAAGCTCTTTAATCTCGGTTCAGCAATATTTTCATTTTCCAAATATCAGACCAATTAATATTTTGATATTCATTATTCCATCGTTGACAAGCTCCTGGTATGATATTTTCATTTTTAATAATTAATTGTTTAAAATCTTTCGACTTTGATGTTTTTATAATGATGTTATTGTACAATGTTTTATTCTGACCAAGTGCAATTGTCTTGTTTTTCAATGCATTTTGAATGACAAAATATTCAAGCGTGATATCTGCATTGTTAGGCATCATTTGTTTGAAGATATTTATATTCTTTAGTTTCTGTTGATTGTCCACTACATCATTTACCAAGTTGATACCTGCATTTTTCCAATTTTTAAAAAATATAACTTTTCCCTTGTAAGTTATGTTTAGATTGTTCCAAATATAGCTATTATCAAATATGACATCATCACATGTTTTATATTTGAACCAAGTTTTCAACAGGAATTCATAGAA